GTAGACGTGTTCTCACCTGGTGTAGAATCGGCCAGCAAGGAAGAAAGCACGTCCAGCCCTTTGGTTTCCTGAGAAGCTCTCTCCCCCTTTCTCTTCCCTTCCCTGCAGTGCAGGGCTCAGACATCACATTCCAGGCAGGGGATAGTAACAATGCAAGGTGGGCTTCCCTTCCCTACACCCCGCCTCCACACTGCTGACGTCACGACCCAACCATATAAGGGCAAGCTGGGCCGAGTTGTCGTCTTTACTCAGCTAAAGGCGGGGCACCGGAGAGCACAGGGGAAGGGACAAACCGGGGAGACGGGGAAATGAGCTGACACAGCCAGCCAGGGAGGGAGACTTCTGAGGAAACCGAGGAGGGAGGGAGGGAGGGGGGGGGGGACAGCCTACACAGAAGTTTACAACCTAATGTCAAAGTTGGAGGAGTTGTGAAACCGAAAAAAAAAACTCTTCAACAATATGAAAACCTAATCATAAGTCCGTGTTCAGACCTGAGCTTCACAGGAATGCGGGTTGTGGTGATGTACATTCACAGGCATTTGTTTCCGTGTTTGCCACGCGTTCCCCAAACGTGGGAAAGTAGTACATGACACAAATTCTGTGACATGGGCTCTGTGGGGAAAAAAAAAGCGTTTGCTCGACTGCAATTGGGGTGTCGTTAACTAGTAATGGTACTGTAAACACGCGTTTGTGCATGTTTCGTGAACGCGCATCAAAGCTCACACCTAGGTGTTTTGCCACGCCAAACTTTACGACAAGCAAAACGTGCTCCAAGATAGAGACTCTTAGTTTAGAGTTAGGACTGCACTACATAGAGGTGCCCTGGCAAGGCTGTGTGGCTTTCTAAACCTCTGTTTTTAACCTTAGCGGTGAGACAAGTTTTTTTTTTGCATGCTGGCTGGTGAGTGTGCTGGGAAACTTTTTGCTGTTAAACTATACAACAAAACGCGGCAAACAAGAAATCGCATTAATTTCTGTTCACGCCTGAGTGTTTTGTTACAAACTGTGAAACGCATGATGCACGAAAAAGTACATGAGCTTCTTTTAGCAGTATACAGCATGTTTTGGCACCATAGACTCAATTGGAAATATACGACATAAGACATTTTGCACATTATTGTGCGCATCTTCATGCACGTTTGCCTATTTACACCAATGTCTCAGAATCTACCAGCTGAAATACACGCATCAGACGTGCGCGCAAAAAACACTCAAAGGCACTAGACAAAAACGTGCATAAATACGCACAAAAACGCTGATGCCTAGGTGCGAATATGGGCTTACGGTTCAATTGTGTGGCGATGCATTTTTCAGAAAATCGTGATATGCGCAGGCTTGGTGCAAACTGAGTTTGCCCATGCAAAACAAGCCCCCCCTCCTAGCCCAATCAGCTGCGGTAGCGGCTTTCCCCACCCCTTTGTTACATGTAGTTGCACAGTAGGGGATGCTCTGGCCCCAGCTGATTGGGCTCGGGAGGGAGATGTGTCACTGACAGTTTTGCGCAGGCTCACTCAGTTTTGACCAAGCCCACAGACATTCCACATTCCTTCTGAACAACACCGGACTCTACGAATGATTTAGCACCAGGTTCCCAATGAACATGAAATGCGCTCCTAGAGAGAGGTGGCCCGCTTTCATCCTCACTTCGGGCACAAGATGAGTGGCACTACACGCCGGGGCCCACCCATAGGGGTGGGTGGGCTGGCCAACCTGGGCTCCGCTTCTTTCTGAAGTTACGGATCTGACTTGCCGACTTCCCTTACCTACATTGCTCTAACATGCCAGAGGCTGTTCACCTTGGAGACCTGCTGTGGATATGGGTACGGCCCGGAGCGAGATTTACATCCTCTCCCCCATATTTTCAAGGGCCAACGAGAGCTCATTGGATGCCACCAGAACCGCGATGCTTTCTCTTGGGACGAACCTAATCCAGGGTGCTCTGCCCTTCACAAAGAAATAAAAACTCTCCCTGGGGCTCCCGCCGGCTTCTCCAGGATCGGTCAGGTTACCGCACTGGATGCCTTTTCATACAATGCAGTTGTGATGTGCATTGAGATCAAATGCAGGCATAATGCATTTTTCTGCAGCGCACACACCATGCGGTGTGAAGACTGAATGGAGTGTACACTTTGTACACTCCAAATAAAGTTAACAGCGTAATGCCCGCCGGACCTCAGCACACTAGCTTGCACGCTAAAGTCTAGTGTTTTGGCATGCGTTCTAGTGTGGATGAACCCGTAATGTTATGAGTTTTGGGGCTTGTTCACACTGGCCGTACAGTAAAAACGAGGCATTTTCCCATGTGGCTAGTGTCCGCTGGGTGGCAGTAGTGAGCCACGGTGCCCAGTGTTCTTGCAACACAGGACACTGGTTACTTTTTTGTTTCTTTTCTTAACTTTATTTGTAGTGTACGAAGTGTACACACCATGCCTATCTCCGCATGAAAGCATTTTACATTGCACTGTGGTGTGGTGACCTTTTGTGAAATCCAGCTTGCTGCAGACAAGTACGGTATGTCTGCTTTTTGCCGCAGCCCACTGCACTACACATCATGCCAGCATTGTGATGTGAATGGGGCACATAGTAAACAATTGTTGTCTATGTACCCTAATGGTATCTGGCGTTGGTCTAGTGCAGGAAATGCCAGTCACTGCAGTATGTGTGAATGGACCTTTAGGCTATGTTCACATCGGTTTTGCAGGGGCTCAAGCAAACTCAGCTTGCACCAAGGCCGTGCCAATGCCAGAAAACAATTGTTTGCTATCTTCCCTGCTCACACCACAATGCACTCAGAGCCAGCACTACCCTACAGGCCGGTCAAGCAACTGCCTGAGGGTGGGGGGGGCGGAAAGATGTGTACTGGGAGGGGGGCCCCTTTAAGAAGGCCACCTCTCTGCACTCCATCTCTCATCTCTCGGCCGCTGCAGCTTCAGAGCGGCCGGGAGGAGAGAGGGAGCGCTGACAGGTGTGGTCAGAGCCGCCTCTCAGCGCCGGTATGAAGCCGAATTTGCCACCAGGGAGCAGAGGAGCGGCAGGGCTCCTTTTGATGAGGTGAGCGACATCAGGTTTCCGGGCCCCGCGCCCCGTCATGCGGTTCTCGCCCGCTCCTAACACCCCCCTGGCGGCTACCTTTCTCCGCCCAGCCGGAGATCATCTCAGGAAACAGTGAGGGGAGAGCTGCACTCGCAGCCCTTCCTCTCAGCTGTCACAGGAGTTCCAGCACAATGCTGTGCTGGAACTCCTGTATTGGAGGTGACAGGTTCAGTAAGAAAACCTGCCACCTCCATATGCTACCCTGTTTCCCCGAAAATAAGACCTACCCTGAAAATAAGACCTAGCACTATTTTTAAAGATTCCTGTAATATAAGACCTACCCCGAAAATAAGACCTAGTTGGGTGGTGGCATGTGAGGGGGAACTTGAAGAGCAGGAGAGATGGTATCAGCCTGCAGGGACATACTGTATTAAGGGGGTCACAGGGGACTCCCTCCGACCAGCGCAGTGACAGGGAGCACTCCAGTACCATACTTCACCAACTGCTGTCCCCCTGAAGGCACTGCTTAATGTAATGTTACTGAACTGTAATGTGTATTGGTAAATGGTACCGTACTTTACCGCGCTGTCCACTGTCTGATGCCCCCTCTGCTGCACCGCTGGTACCACTGTCCCTGATGGCAAAGGAAGCCGGTGCTGTAGAAAGCAAGGCTGCGGCGGCGAAGGGAGCAGAGTAGCATTAGCCGATACTTCCTCTATAGTGCCGGTTACTAACTTTGAACATAACTTTGGATTGTTGTACATTTTGTTGCACATTAAAAATAAATAAGACATCCCCTGGAAATAAGACCTAGTGTGTTTTTTTGGGGCAAAAAAAAAGACTGTGTCTTATTTTCGGGGAAACACGGTATATGCTGTTAGCTCCTGTGTGATAGCAATAAAGTTAAGTGAAAAAAATTATTACAAAAGAAGTAAAAAATAATAATTAAAATGAAGTAAAAGATAGTAAGATTAAAAAATAAAAAGTAACAAATAAAAAAATGATAAAAAAGTAAAAGATAATCAGATAAATAAAAATGTAAAAAAGTAAAAACATTTTAAGAGCCGTCTGAAGGGCGTACACCTTCGCCTGTGTAGGCAAAGATCCTTGCACCGGCCCTGAATGCACTGTGCGGTGCACTGCTGGAAAATGCAAAACTGAAACAGAGCATCACACCGCCCACCTCTGGACCTCACACAAACACTAGGCCACAAACTAAAAAGTGTTTTAGCGTGCGGGCTAGTGTGAACGAGTCCTTAAAGTGGCCCTGTTGCTCTGCAATTTTTTTTAACGTACCCTGTGAAATGATGTAGGATGCCCATTCATATCGGACTCTCAGTAATGCTATGGACCAGTCCTCTGGGCACCATGCCAGACACATGTGAGGGCCTTTTTCCATAGAATTTTGCCGGCATTTTTTTAGAAGGTAGGTCCTCAGCTCTTTCCTCAACCCTCCCATTTGCACAGGTTTTGGCCAGCATGCCGAATGACAGTTTATTTGTGCCCAACTCCATGGGCTTGCGGCAGCCTCCTCTCTTCTCCCCCCCTTCCCTTTTACTGGGGTTCTATCCTTTCAAATTCCAGTCAGAGCTTACTCGATAGTGCCTTTGGCGGGAAGAGAAGGATCCTTGTGCTGCTTCCCGAGGCTTCTGAATCTTCCTTCTCCCATATAGAAGAAGCTGGACTGGCGGGCTCTGCATAAGTGTACCATATCTCACAGCGATCTCAGCCAGCTCCTCTTCCTTCTCCTTAATGTGCCACTTATGTGGTTTGTCACCTCTATTTCATTCCTTAATTAAGATTTAGGAATGGTTTAATGAAGTCTGTTCATCTGATGTTTGATCAAATTTAAAGCAGTAAAAGTGCCTTTAATGCCAAAGGTTTTGCTCATTTGTGGTATAAAATTCATTTCAGTACAGCGCTGCATGACGGAATAAATGTCAGTCAAAGTACCGCAGCGCTGAATACTGAAAAATGGCCTGGATGGGAAGGGGGTTTAACACCGCGGATGTCAACTGGTTAATGCAGCTATATTTTTCTTACTGGTTCCGGGGTGTTGCCTAGATAACAAAGGGCTGGGCAACCTCAGCAATCCAACTGTTGTGGAACTAAAAGTCCCATGCGGTATTAGA